GCACAAAAGAGAGTAAAATTTGATAATAAAAGTGATCGGTGCATATTTGTTGGCTATGCTGATGGTATCAAAGGCTATAGACTTTATAATTTGGAGAAAAAGAAAATTATCATTAGCAGAGATGTGATTTTTGATGAGAGTGCTACATGGAACTGGAAGTCTCCAGAAGCCTCTAGTACTCCATTATTGCCAACCACTACCATCACACTAGGCCAACCACATATGCATGGCACTCATGAAGTGGAAGATCATACTCCAAGTCCACAGCCATCAAGTCCAATGTCAAGCTCAAGTGCTAGTTCAGATTCAAGCCCGAGCAGTGAAGAGCAAATTTCTACACCGGAATCAGCTCCAAGACGGGTAAGAAGTATGGTTGAATTATTAGAATCTACTTCTCAACAAAGAGGGTCAGAACAACATGAATTTTGCAATTATTCAGTTGTTGAGCCACAAAGTTTCCAAGAAGCAGAAAAACATGATAATTGGATAAAGGCCATGGAAGATGAGATTCATATGATTGAGAAAAATAATACATGGGAGTTGGTTGATCGTCCTAGGGACAGAGAAGTTATTGGAGTTAAGTGGGTTTATAAGACAAAATTAAATCCAGATGGCTCAGTTCAGAAATACAAGGCAAGACTTGTGGCAAAAGGCTTTAAGCAAAAGCCTGGGATTGATTATTATGAGACATATGCTCCTGTTGCCAGGCTAGAGACAATTCGTACCATAATTGCTCTAGCAGCTCAAAAGAGGTGGAAGATATATCAACTTGATGTTAAATCGGCTTTCTTAAATGGTTATCTTGATGAAGAAATCTATGTTGAACAACCTGAAGGGTTTTCAGTCCAAGGGGGAGAAAATAAGGTATTCAGACTCAAGAAGGCTTTATATGGATTAAAGCAAGCGCCTAGAGCGTGGTATAGTCAAATTGACAAGTACTTTATTCAGAAAGGATTTGCCAAGAGCATAAGTGAGCCTACTCTATATGTCAACAAAACAGGTACGGATATCCTAATCGTCTCACTCTATGTTGACGATTTGATATATACTGGCAATAGTGAGAAGATGATGCAAGACTTTAAAAAAGATATGATGCATACATATGAAATGAGTGATCTGGGCTTGCTCCACTATTTTCTCGGTATGGAAGTGCATCAAAGTGATGAAGGAATATTTATATCACAAAGGAAATATGCTGAAAATATTCTGAAGAAATTTAAGATGGATAACTGCAAGTCAGTTACAACCCCCTTGTTGTCAAATGAAAAGCAAAAGGCTAGAGATGGAGCTGATAAGGCAGATCCAACAATTTACAGAAGCTTAGTTGGAAGTTTATTATATTTGACCGCAACACGACCGGATATTATGTTTGCGGCAAGTTTATTATCAAGATATATGTCTAGCCCAAGTCAATTAAATTTTACCGCTGCAAAGAGAGTTTTGCGGTATATCAAAGGGACCGCAGATTATGGTATATGGTATAAGCCAGTTAAAGAATCAAAATTAATTGGCTACACGGACAGTGACTGGGCTGGATGTCTTGACGATATGAAGAGCACATCAGGCTACGCTTTCTCACTTGGTTCAGGTATGTGCTCCTGGTCTACAAAAAAACAAAATATTGTCGCTTTATCTTCAGCCGAAGCAGAATATGTAGCAGCATCAAAAGCTGTTTCACAAGTTGTTTGGTTGAGGAGAATTATGGAAGATCTGGGCGAGAAGCAATATCAACCTACTACAATTTATTGCGACAGTAAGTCTGCAATTGCGATCAGCGAAAATCCAGTCAGTCATGACAGGACAAAACATATTGCTATCAAGTATCATTATATCCGGGAAGCAGTTGATCGCTAGGAAGTTAAATTGGAATTTTGCCGAACTGATGAGCAGTTGGCAGATATATTTACCAAGGCTTTATCCAAAGAAAAATTTATCCGCGACAGAGAGCTCATCGGAGTTTGCAAGAAATAAATTAAGGGGGAGTTTGTTGGAGTTAATTTATTTCTAGAACATACCAGCCTACTCTCTAACCCTCTCTACTACTCGTGAAACTAAAGTCAAGGTTGAAGTCCTTGCTCTGTAAATTTTCTAGAACAGTGTAGTGTGTAGACATGCATGATGTGATTTTACAGTAGTACTAGTACCAGTGAAGTTTGACAATGTAGTAGTACTATAAGTCTCTAGCTAGGTCCTGAAGCTTCCTACATGTCGGTTTATCAAGCCTATAAATAGAAAGCCAGTGCATGTGTATAGACTGATGATGGTGTGCTGCCCAACGTACAAGCAAGTGTACTGTTCAGCCCTCAAGCAAGCAAGTAAAGAAACCAGTTAAAACTAGCACAAGCTTCTCTGCTCCTCTTCTCTGATCCCCTGCTTAGGAAATATTTAGCACCAACAGTTGCGAGTCACCGCAAGGTTGGCATCGATCTGGAGGCGTGATTCGACGGTGGCGCGATGGTGGGGCGTCAGCGGTGTGTGAGTCATGGCGCGATCGGCGTGAAGGCGCCGTCGGCGACATTGATTTGGAGTCGTGAATCGACGGGGTGCGATGGCGGCATCACGTGAGATGGTGGGGGCATCGGAATCAACGGCGGCGGCGGCATTGATCTGGAGGCGGGAATAGATGGCGGCGCGATGGCGTGGCCCATCATTTCTTTCAGTTTTTCTAATCTTTATTCAGCTATTTTTGATTCGGGAAGGATTGGGAGGTTTTGCCGCTGATCTCTACCATTGCTTTCTGCTTTCTGTTTTTCTGGATTCAGAGTCCATGGAGATGAATGTGCAGGCGAGGTACTAACCCTGATAAGGAGATACTGTAGATCCTGCAAGCTGAATCCAAGTCCATGCTGGTAATGACTTTTTGAATCTCCAGTTTTTGTTTCAATCGATTTTGCTTCCATGCAAGCACATACATGTATATGTATCTGTACTTACGTATCAAGATAGAAATATACTAGTTCTTTTAGATGGGGCTTGCGTGTTGAGGCTGTAGATAAGTTTTTATGTTGCTCCATGTATGAGATGATTGATGCATGAACAAGTATTTGTCGGAGGAATGAAAACAAAGTTCTCAGTTGTATTGAGAAAAAGAACTTTGTTTTTGAGATTGTGCTGACTATTCATAATTTTGGAGCTCTTTTTTTTTTCCTGTGAATGGAGCTCCTGATTGTGTCAATGGTTTCTTTCTAAATTTCCTGAAGAGCTTGCAGGATGTGAACCTGTTGGTCTCTATCTGACATTCTTTTTTGGCGAGTTCCAGTTTTTTGTTTCCTTCTCAACAAAAAAGCGCTACTGCATAAACTTATATAAGTTGTTAAAAACTATAATATCGAAGTTCTGCACATGCATGCATACCCAGGACTTCTAATAAAATTCTCAAGGGATGATATGTAGTCCTTTTTTACTAAAACAAAACTAGTCCAGAGAACATACATCAATAATAGGCACCTATATTTTTCTCTCTTTTTCTAACTAGCATTGTTGTGCCCTTCTAGAGAAATCTGACATTTTTGTTGTAACGAGGAAGTAGACTACAGTTTCAGCTGAAGGAGCTGCCATTTGTTTGTGGAAGCTTTTTTGAGATGGTTCAGTTCTTAGGTGAGGATGGCCAGGGAGGCAACTTTTTTTTTTTTTACATTTTTTGAATTCTAATTAGGGCCATCTTTGTCTAGGCTTGTAAGTTTGTCTTTTAAGCTGAAAAGTCTAAGCCTAAACATACTGCCAGCTTTTTCATTTGGCTTTTTTAAGCTATAAGCCACTCTTAGGCTCTGTTCGGGAGTGAGGGTTGGGAACCCTCACTCTCCGGCACGTAAAACGAAGCAGCGTTTAGCACGTGATTAATTAAGTTTTAGCTAATTTTTTTTTCAAAAATAGATTATATGATTTTTTAAAGCAACTTTTATATATAAACTTTTTGCAAAAAATACACCGTTTAGTAGTTTGAAAAGCGTGCGCTCGGAAAACGAGGAGGAGTTGGGAACTACTCCTAACGAACGCAGCCTTACACTATTAAGCCAAAAGCTACGTTAGAGTAGCTTTTTAGGCTTATGTGGAGTGGGTGTTACGCGTCCATATATCCAAAGTGACAAGTCAAAACTTTTCACCTAGAACTAAACAAAACTTTTCACCTAGAACTAAATAAGGCCCTAAGCCTAGTGACGTTAACTCAGTATTTGCATGCGTAAAAGTACGCCATTTTCTCCATAAGCCTAGTGACACGTGTCAGCATAATAAAGGAGGCCGGCTCAGGACCAATTAGCTTGCGGGGTGACCCGCCAGCCTTAGAGCAAGGCTAATAATACAACCAGTTGCTTATTGTATAGATCCTTATAGTCTATCTCTCAGCTCACTTATATAGTGGTTAACTCTTCACTATAATAAATATATAGTTCACCTGTCTGTCTCACATATTTTCTTGGTTCCTATGCTTAAACTGGCTGTAAATTTACAGCCCGCTTCTTATCTCTCCTCTCCTCTCTCATCCACTAGCATTTAGCCTTTCTATAGTACTCTATTATACTTGCTCTTAGTAATATAGATAGATAGATATGTTTGTGTTTAAACAATAGGATTAAAGTAGGATTGTATAATTGTAATTAAAATTTTAATTAATTGATAAAAGTTAATAATGGCCGGTTAGAGCACCCGTAATGGTAAAGTAAGGTGCTCTTTATAAAACATGTACAACTCAGCAATAGAATAGATTAATAGTAAACCACCTCAATAGTATGTCTACATGGGTATCTATAGCTCTCTCATCCATTGCCTCGTTTTTCTCTATAGACTATCTCCAAGTTAGTAGATAGTTTTACTCGCTCTCTTCATTTAATCTCTTCCAAGTAGGAAAATATGCTGACATGAATCTCTTGTAGAGAGCCTATAGATAACCATTGCAGGTGCGCTTAGAGTTATACCATGGGGACAGGGGAGAGCCCATGGGCCAGAGAGAAGGTCGGTTTCCCAAACCAATACCAGCTCGGTATCGGATGGATTTATTCCGTTTTATAAGGGAGGGAAGGAAGTAAGGTACGATACGATACGATTCGGTGAGTCTGTGAAGAGGAACCGACCAAGCAAACCCTAGCCGCCGCCGCCGCCGCCTCCGCGTCCGCCTCCAGATCCGGCCGTCGGCATGGCGATGCGCGCTCTGGTCTCCAAGCTGAGGGTCCCCGCGGCTGCTTCCCGCCGGGCTCTTCCGCCGTTTCGATCCTTCTCCGCCGCCTCTCAGGTTCAATTCGATTCGTTCCCCTCCCCTCTTCCTCGCTTTTGCTGCTTGTTTCTGATGCGATCTGTTCATCTATTTCCCGTTCAATCACCATCCTTCTTGCGTGATTTAGTTCGCCTTATCTTCTATCTCACCATCATCTACCAGTTTTCGTACATGAATAAATTGGGGCTTTTTTATATTTAACTTTGAGCTGAACAAAACATTTTTTTTTGACATACTATCTATCTAAAGCCCCTAATCTTCTGCATATGATAGTCGCTATCCTGGCTGTTATCGTTAGTTTTATGATTAAACCGGTGCTTCAATTTAATGTTAGATCAGTACCTACACAGTGTTCCTTGCAGTGGTTTATTAATCATTAGTAGTAGTTGATTTGCGCCTGATATTACACCACCCGTCTGATTTTTCTCTCTATCATGCATCCAACTTTAGGATAAGGTTGGCGGAACTACTGCACGCGCTGCCGCTAAAGAAGGGACTCCAATTTCTGATAATAGCAGGTACGACGCAGATTCTTTGTTCTAGTTCAGCATTAGTTAGAATCAAATTTGCCGTTTTAATTTTCCCAAGCACACATGTTTTAACTCACAAACCTTTGGCTTCTCAACGACAGGAAGGTCGAGAAGTTCTACAGGAAGCTGCGATGGTATCAAGCCCTTGGCAACTTCCTTGGGTTCAACACTTCAGTTTATTTATTCTATCGCTACCACTACACCTAAGCTAAGGAGGAGCAAACTTAGTACTCTGATTGTCACTCTATTTATGTATCCATATACCACCTAAGTACTGAACACTCAATTGCATGTATGAGTACGTACTTAGTACTCTGATTGTCACTCTATTTATGTATCCATATGCCACCAAAGTACTGCACACGTACTCTCAATGGCATGTATGAGTAATGTTTGCATGTATGAGTACGAATGTTATCCATGTGGCCTTGAGCAGAAACATCTTGGAAAGTCGCAGGATTTATATGTCTCTGTTTTGCTTGCGTGCCTTGCTGGCGTTGTGGTGATCCGGTTAATTTGAGATGAAATGGGTATCAGATTAATTTGTGCGGTTGTGCTATTCCTCGACTGTCACTCGTGGCTGCTATTCCTCGACTGTCACCCGTGGCCGCCACGCTGTAGCGCCTGCGAACGACGAACGATGCGGCATCCGTCGGAGCTTTCCCGGTCGACGGTGACCCACACCGTTGCTGCGTGCTCCATGGCACAGGATCACCATGGTTCCAGGGTGTTTCTTCCTGTAAAACCGGCGTGCGGTCGCTGCGTGTATGTTCGTGGCCACCGGAGACGAGTTGCCGGAGCTGGCAGCCGAAATTTACGTGGCGTCACCCCCTATTATTTTTGATAGAACGAACGAGAGGTTTGTGTTTATCACATTTTTGAACAGCACATGGAGTCATAGGGTTCATTGAGTATCATACCTGTATCTCAAATCTCTCTATTTTTTTTTGGAATCTTGAAAAATGGCATAAAATTATATAGGAATTTCAGCTCATCAAGTTCACAACAATTTTATCAAGACTGGAGACCTAGCAACTATACTGTAGCATCATGCCAGTTTAGACCATTAAATATCTTTACAATGGCTGAAAATCTCGCTTAATCTGTAGTTTTCTTTGTTGGGTTCTCTGACTTCTCTCCCGAATGCCCTTTGTTCTTACCCCAGGTTTCCAACTCATCTTCCTTGTTTTTCGTGCGCACGCTTTTCAAACTACTAAACGATGTGTTTTTTTAAAAAAAAGTTTCTATATGAAAGTTGCTTAAAAAACATATTGATACTTTTTTTAAAAAAATTAAATAATACTTAGTTAATTACGCGCTAATGGACAATTCTAATTTCCGTGTCCGGTTGGAATCGGTGAGGATCGTCTCAATCAGATCCAACACCACGTAGCTCCCACCTCCCTCCGTTTCCTTTCCGTCTCCTCTTCATTCACGCGCTCCCTCCTCTCACCGCGCTCTACCTCGGCCATCTCTTTCAGCCGCCGCCATCACCGCCCCCGCCACCGCCCATCGTCCACGCCCACGCCCACGTCTTCTTCCACATGCGGCAGTGTTTCAGAGTGTGAGAGTGCGCGGGGGCTCCAGGAGGGCTCTCCATTTCCTGCTTGCCATCACTATCTTCTTTGACAGCGACTGCTGTCTTCTTCCTCATCTCCGTCGCATGCACGAGCAGCGTGGAGTAGGAGCACGCCACTGCCGTCCCCGATCCAGAGTGTAGCCACACCGACTATATTTTCCTTGTGGGCAGGGGCCTCTCCGAAGCACTCCATTGCTAGTCGCAGCCTCATCCCCTGATCCAGCTTGGGAATAACATCGGAGTGGGGTTGATGGCGCTGCCGCTGCCATCACCGTATTAGCCCAGGTGCGGATTCCTCCCTCCCTCTCTCCCTGATAATCACGACATTGATTGATTGATCCGATTGTTCCAGTCAACTTGGTGCAGGAATTAGTGCTGTTTGTGTTTGGTTTCCAACGCTTGTTTCAGAATGACATGTGCATTTGCAAGTACAGAGCCTACTCATTATTATTAGCCCGTGGTTTATTTGCAAATCTATTATGCAGTCTATATTGATAGTTATAGTGACTGAACAATCAAAACGAGTCATTGCAAGTGAGTAGTATTTATTTTCATCAGGTGAAGAAAAATCGCAGATAATATTACTAGATGTCAATGCCACGTTTTCATACTTGCATTCAGTCCCTGCACAGCTTCCCAGTGAAAAAACTCGCTAGCCAGGTTGAGGTGTTGTGCTCTTATCTACCCCCAGAAATACTAATCTAAGTGTTATCAAATTCCTTGAAATTATCGAACGTTCAAATAGAAGCTGGAGAACTAATGAAATTTCATCTTAGAATCCTGCAGGGTGGGAAGGTGCAGAAGTTGCTTTTTGGCATCTCCTTTCCCAAATAAATTATTTTCCTTTATGATATATCTCATAGGAAGATTGAGGAAATTACTATGACTGACAGACTGAATGAGTTCTACATCCCACCAAAAACTCAGATTGATTTATCCTATATCATAATTTACCGTATCTTGCAATTTAAGAATTCTTCTCATAAGTTCTATTTGTTTTACCTGAGCCTTTTTTTCTTGCTTACAGGAAAAATAAGTGCATTCGATTCTATTTCATTTACTGCCCGGCCTCCTCTGCCAAGTGACATTGTTTGGAATCCCGCTACTGGCCGCGACATATCTCTACTTCTTCAGATCCCATCACTGAAGGTAAGCCCCATTTCTCTTTTTCTTTTTCTCTTGGATTTTGTGATATAAAATGGAAATGGTTGTGGATCTGTGACATATATGTCAATTTAGAGGTATGTGGTGTCACATTTGTTTTGTAGATCCATCTTCATTCACTTTATTTATTCCGATCAAAAAATGATCAAAATAGCCTGAAAATGACCATTGGTTAGCAGATTTGTTGTACACAATATAGACATTTTTTTTTTAGAAATTTCGAATTCTCTGATTCTTGTAGATAATTTTATTTTTCCTCAGATCGAGCATGCTGGTTTCAGAAAATAATCAACAATGGTGCTTGCCTATTAATTTATGTCTACGTCACCTGTGAGTTTTTGATTATTAGACTGATCTAAGTCACTCTTTTGAAAATGATTGGAGTGTGTTTTACAGCATCCTACCTGAATTTCCTGTTCTGCAATATGGCGAGTCGACTGGAGGCTTAAGAACCACGAGTTGTTGCTGAATTATAATTGTACTTCACAGATCCCAGGCAATAGTAGATCAATGTTTAGGACATGAACATTTGACCATGATGTCATTTTATTGTAATTGTACTTCATAGATCTGTTGAGCATTCATTTAGATTATGGTGTCATTTGATTTTCCAAGAACTGGTAATGTTGATTTTTAAGTGAATTTTGTCTAATTGATCAAGATTTGCTTTGTGCAGGTTTGGGCCTACAATTGCCATGCTTTACAGGGAGCTTCAAGATCATGAGACCTTGGATTCTCAAGAATCGATCCATGAAGCTGAAGAACACCAGCACAGGTAATTGAATTTCTAGCTGGGGAACTCACAGATTCAGTGAAATAATTTTAGGCTAAGCATGTGGTTTTTAAGTGTTCACATTTTCAGAATCGGCTGATCGGTGGGCTTCTAAAGGATTGGCAAGATAAAGTTAAGCGCTATACACTATGGTTATGTCTTTGTTGACACCAAGCTTACATTTTGATAAGGTATAAGCTATAGTGCAATCAGCACAATGTCAACACAAACATGAGCTTAGACTTATTTAGGGTGTATGGCTCTTGCATACTTGCCAAATAAATTAACAAATATCTCCCTAGATATATCGCCGTCTTTTGTTGTTTGCTTTATTTTACCAAATATTTTCATAGTGTTGGCACGGGCATATATTTTTAAAAGTAAAAGTAGTCTCACATCTGTGTGAAACATTATCAATGAGATTGAGTGAAAGTTATTCAAGCTACATTATTTCATTTACTCCTTCCTACAATCAACATGAATACAGATTCATGTGTGTGAGACCAGCTGCCAGATGGTGTCAACCGTCAAGAGATCATATATATGTTCCATGACTTCCATGAAATCAATGGTGAAAACAACATGATCTTTTGATAATCGTCAATGAGTCATGCGTCTGATATTGTGTGAAGGTTGTCCTTATCAAGGTAGTAAGAGCTGTTAGCATTATTTCATCTTCTATGCAACTCTGCTAAAGCAGTAAAAATATTTTTCTTCAATGTAAGCCCACGACTATGGTGGCTCAAATTTGGTATATGAGGATAAACATGTTATTAAATGAAACCCTTTTTACTTCCAAAAGATTTGATTGCGGGAACGGATCCATATTATGGGAAAAACTAAGGACATATTTGTTTTTCTCCAAAATCAACTCGTGATTGAAATTATGCTGGTATTGATCGTATTGTTGTTTTCATGTCGTTGGTTGGCAAATTCGCAGAAAAATTATCTGCTTTTCTTAATTGATCATGGCTGCTTCAAATAAAATTATGTCGGCTCATGTATTTTTTTTACATGAGGTCCAAGTAAATAATCCTAAATATAAGCCGATGCTACAAGTCAACTAAAAAGAATTTGATGTGTAATATTGTCTGTTGAATTTGTGTTTATACAATAATTTCTTAAATATATCGGGTATTATTAGGATTTAGATGATTTCTAAATATACAAAAGTTGGAATGTTATTTTACACACATGGCTATGCAATTATTAGTTAAGATAACTCTATGTGTTCTTTCCATGTGAATCTTAATATAACATTATATACTTCATTGTCAAAATATAACTAAATATTACCGTAGTGTTAGCGCGGGCAAATTAATAGTACCCTATACTAATCCACCAACTGCGTCTTACATCTTATTCCTCATTGATTGGTTAGGATCGGATCCAACGACTCAGGTTGCTTCCACCTTCTCCCCCTAATCCATGATCTCTCTCCCTAATCTTTCCCCTAACGGCACCCCGCCGCATTGCCTGCCTCCGTCCTCTCCGCATGTCCCTAACCCTAATCGTCGCCCACCGCCGCTGCTCATTCTCGTCCGCTCTGTCGCCCGTGCCGATCTCGCCCACCCACATCGCCAGCGACGTCTGCCTCGCCGGTCTCAGCGCCTCCGCCGGAACACCCATGCTCGCGCTGCGCCACCACCGATCGAATCCCCGCCGCCACCGATCTCGCTCGTTCCCGTTTTCCAATTCTCCAGGTCTGTTGGTCTCTCTCAAAAAATTTCCATGGATACTTTTGGAAAATTGAATGGAGGGTTGCCAAAAAAAAAATGAATTGAGTGGTATCTGTGTTACTACTATCTTTCATCTGGATTATTTTTACATGGCATTGTGCATATAAAATACAAATTGTTTCTTCAATGAGGCACTTTCATGTCAGCAAATTTCTAATGGAGATTTCTGTGATCTGTAATAATGGTCGTCATCTGAATAAAATTCATGTCGTTCTTTTTTTTTTTTGACGCAACATGTCGTTCTTTACTAATTTGCAGTTTATATTCTTGGTTATATAAGCAGTTACATTGTGAATTTTTGTTTGTGTAGACCTGGGCATATTTGGCTTACTTTCAGCAACAGAAATAGAGCAGATCAATGATGGAATTGCATTCTACTGCTGTCCCAAAAGGTTTTTGATCAACATCTTCCAGTTCGATCAGATACTGGCTTTTGTTATGCCTAAGGGGCTATACCATGCATGGTGTCATCATTATCATATTTTCCAAGTTCTTGACAAAAATTGAGCAAAATGAGATGTGACAACGAGAAGACAGAAAGTGCCATTGCATACCAGGTGCTCAAGAAATATGATGATGCCTCACAACAAGATGATCTTTGAGGCATGAGAGGTACAATTTTCTACCTTATTTTTTCTGCACTAAAATGAATGTTCTGCTTAATATTGTCTTCTTTGTTTGGTAACGGAGGTGGCTTATAGCTATGTTAGTTTTATGCATGTTTTGGAATAGTTCACGATAGCATTTCTGTTAGTAAGATATTCTTTGCATAATATTGATGCAAAGTGAGCACTGCAGTCTGCAATTCAACAAATGAATGATTTTGTACCTTCATTTGCATCGGAACGAGGTTAAAAGAACGAAGTTTGCCTCATTGTCAAATTCTCCGGAAATAAAGTTCAGGATAAAAAACTGAAATAGAAGGACATTTGCCTAATTTTCGCGGATTTAGGTGCTTAAAATATTTTACTGTGTAATGTCTGAAATTTCTATTGATGACCAGCTGAGCTCCATTAGATGTTTCACATGGGCATTTATGTTGAAATTGCTGTTAAGTTCACCTATAAACCGTTTAGCTAAGTGCGATGGTGGCTTACACTGTATTTTCCGGTTAGAAATTATAGAGGACAGAAAAGGCAGTTATGTTTATTATGCACCTGTATTTTACTAAAAGTTTTGCAGTCTCAACTGATTGGGACACTTGGAGCTACTTTAGCTGTTTAGCAGTGTTTTAATTTGGGTACAAGATTACAGATTCTAACTGGTCACGTGCTCAATTTTCTGTTATTAATGAACTGCGGTTGACAATGAGTGATAGTCTTTCTTAGTTTTCATATCTGAAATTAAAATGAGAAAACACTGTACACTCCACATAGTTTTTTCTGTTGAAAAAAGTCAATTGTATAATGGTAAGCATTTAAAATAACTTGATACTGGTATATTAGCGAAGTGTATTAATTTGTGTTGCTGCCAATTTTAATACAATTCTCCTTTGCACACAGTTTAAATCATGTTAAGAATCTGCAGCCAGATGCTTATGGAACTTTTTTTAATGCAGGGTATTTTTGGAACTAAACATTCCCAGTAATGCTTTTTTTTCTCTTTCAAGCTTTGATGCGATAAAAGATCTCCATAAATATGCTAAGCTAAGTATGTTTTCCTTACGAAATTGCATATCGTTGCTTCTTTAATCTTTACTATGCCCTTAATTCAGATAGCCCTTAATTCTTTAATATGCCCAAAATTCCTTACAGATAGTGTATTTTGCTCTATACTCTTTTGCCTTTTCAATGATTAAAAGGTTTATTTTTCACACTCTTTCAAATTCAGAAATTGCTGGGTGATCTTGAGGGTACGTATATCTTCCTATAAGTGGAAGCCTGAAATTGGGTGGGCTTATAATAACTAGAGGTAATTTCTACTCTGATCTTGAAATGGACTGCAAGAACAAAACATGAGCACCTGCTATGGTTGGAGGAAGGACACTGTATATATCAGATTGCTTCATAACATCACAAGAAGAAAATGTCCATGTTTAATTTTGAGTAAATTTCACAAAACTACAGGTATTTTGCACAATTTATCACAAAACTACAGATTTAAGAGCTTATTTCACAAAACTACAGATTTAGTGTCTTCATTTATCACAAAACTACAGTTACATTGTTCAATCTATCACAAAACTACAGATTTAAGAACTGTTTCACAAAAATATAAATTTAGTGTATTCGTTTATCACAGTGCTACACATTTAGTGTCTTCATTTATCACAAAACTACAGATTTAGTGTCTCCATTCTCACAAAACTAAATGTTTTAGCATTGTTAAAACGTGTAGTTTTATGAGAATGGAGACACTAAATCTGTAGTTTTGTGATAAATGAAGATATTAAACATGTAGTTTTGTGAAAAATGAAGATATTAAACCTGTAGTTCTGTGAAACAAGTTATTAAATTTGTAGTTTTGTAATATAGTGTTCAAAATACCTGTAGTTTTGTGATAAATGAAGACATTAAATCTGTAGTTTTGTGAAACTAGTTCTAAAATCTGTAGTTTTGTGATAGATCATGTAAAGTATCTGTAGTTTTATAAAATTTACTCTTTAATTTTTGAACCATATATACTTATTTCTTGGTGCATGGAGGACCAAACCACCTCATAGTAGAAAGAGGCTGACCTATTTATTGAGTTGTATATTCAACAAAAAGAATAAAGTTCGATGAAAATCAGCATTACCTTGGTTTTTATATTGTGATGCTTAGCTAAAGTTTGGTATAAGTACTCCTGTTTTCAGCGATTCATTTTATTTGTAAATGGACTCCGAGTTTTTTATGTACAACATTTTGTATTAGGCGAACAATGAAAAGCATTTTTTCAATGACGTGGATGTACAACATTTGTATTACCAAATGCCACCGTAGCATTAGCACGGGTATACTACTAGATAGATTAGTTTAGTTTTAGGTTCAGAGAATAGAGAGGTGGAAACACCCCATCAAAGTTTGACCCGAAATATTGGTTCAGGCCACCTTGTACATATACTACGCAATAAGGTTGTCATTTGTTATGTGTAAGTACTACAAATTCAAGCTTGTATATTGTTGTAGGCTGGGATAGACAAAGGGAACCTCTCTCGTGCAAGTTTACTGACTTTGTATTTGTTAGCCATCTTGGCCTTGTTTTGTACATGTTGAGAAGATTGAGAAAATTCTGAATTGACGTTTCAAGAAACTGCTGGTTCAAGAATTGTTCTCAGTGAAGATACATTGTTCATTGTTGCATGCATGTATAACTTCACATTTTGGCATTTTCTGTTGAAACTTAATTAGTACACACTCCTATGTTGTTTATGAGACCTCTGATTCACTAAATGAGGTGCATTTCTGCAATAATATTAGTGTTGATGCGGTGGACTGATGAAAGCGAAATTATTCCTTACAAAGAACAGCAAAATTACGTCTGATTTTGCATGTTTCATCTTGGTCAATTAGCTTCAGCAGTGAATCATCATCTCTTTAGTTTATAATGGCCATTTTCTTAAAACAATTGTTCCCAACTCTTACTACTATTCTGCTTATATATAATTGTTGATGGTTTTTAATTAATTTTATCAAATAATATGAATTTTTTTATTTTGCTTTCCATATACTCCCTCCGTTTTATGTTATAAGACATTTTGAGTTTGGTTAAAGTCAAACTGCTTTAACTTTAACCAAGTTTGTAGAGAAAAATAATAACATTTTTAACCCAAGATAAATTTATTGTGAAAATAAAGCTCAATTGGACATAGAGAGTACTCCATCCTGCCATCACCGCTTACCCCTGTGCTCAATTAGAAGTGTTTTCTCCTCGCATCGCTCGGCGGAAGATCGCTAAACCTACTATTCTTTGCGCAAATAGATGGGCCCCCTAGGAATGGGGGCCCCTCGGGGCTGGCTCTGGTTATTGATCACCAAAAACAAGCGCATATGATGACACATGAACACACGATATTTGTTAACGAAATTCAACCGAAGCCTACATCTCCAGGGTTGTGATAATGGGTGCTCCTCCCCAACCAATATAGCACCAAGTCTCTACGAGTACATGGCCTTAATTATCACTGCTACATTGTAATCGCCATGGTTATATTTGTGGTATCCTTTTCTATGTTTAAGAGAGAGCCTCCATTGGTGTAGAAGCCGGGTTTTATAAATTTCCATTATCTAAAAAAATATTTAAGAGAGAGCCTATGACAGAGTGAAACTCTAACTCTATCCTACACATATTCCAACTTCAAGTTAACTCCTAATAGAATTAGTATATTCGACACCTATTCTAACAAAAGTTCTTGGTGTCTAAGTCAAAACTAATGATTTTTTCAAAAAAAAAACTCAAAATCTGGAAAAACAAATTTTTATGGTTGGTTGTGGAATTCGTATGTATAAACCATCGATTTCTACATCAATAAGGGATTCAAAGTGGACTTTTTCCTTGGGTTGACGCTGCATCGAGGCCATGCATGGGCCAAGCCCAGAGAGCAGCGGTTCCGCTTCGCGTGCGCCTAAAATAAAAAGGAAGGGGAGGCGTCTCTCCCAGTTTGTGAGGACCGATCAAGCGATCAAACCCTAGCCGCCGCCGCCTCCTCCTCCTTCTCCTCCTCCTCCAGATCGGCAATCGGCATGGCGCTTCGTGCTCTCGCCTCCAAGCTGAGGATCCCGGCGGCCGCTCCCCGCTGGACTCCTCCGCCGTCTCGCCCCGTCTCCACCGCTCCTAAGGTCCAATTCAACTCTTTCCCCTAATATCGAGCTGTTTGACATCTACAATCCTTGCAACGTTTTACTAACTATTCTTCTATTTCCTCATATATGCAACTGCAGCGTAAGCTCTCTGCCACCTCCAAAACCTGTTGAAAAAAGTTCTCTCGATTTTCAGGAAATGTACGATGCAGATGCTTATGCTTAGTTAATTTCCTTTGTTTTTCCTTTGTTTGTTGACTCATGTCTTTTCCTTTATTTTTTTTCTCTTTTCAAGGCTACTCTTGGAACGGATTCGTGCACATCAAGACAGGTTTGCGCGGAACATGATGATTTCTCAAGCAATTGGTAATTTAGTTGGGTATGGCATCTTTTGGTATCTTGTCAACGATGTTTCCAAGAACTTGGCAAATTGATCGGGTTCAACAATGAACCTGTTATGTATGGCTTGATGAAGCACCTGTTATGTATCTTCTAAAGGTCCTGAAGATGAACCTGTTATGTATGGCCTAGTATGTGCTGATGAACATGTCTAATTATTTTGTATGGATGATGAACCTGTTCAAATCTTACTATGTTCTGATCAACATGTTGAATTTGTCTTTACTTTGGCCACGATGAACCTGTTGTGGCTTGTTTGTGTACTTTTTGGCCATGATGAACCTGCTATGGCTTGCTTGTGTTTTTTTAATCAAGTATGAAGCTGCAAATAGCATTGCCTATCTGGGCCAGGGCACGCTTGTCATTCCACATCCCACCATGATGGCAAGCTGATATGTCTCACCACAGTAGTGAAATTGGCAAATTGTTAACAGAAATTCTCTCCAATGGCAAATCTGTAAGAAATATATTAAGAGTGGCATTTGGTCTCGCCTCCAAGCTGGACGAAGTCAGGGGAGCTAACAACTATCGATGTAGCATCTACGTATCTGGCTCCTTTTATGTTATGTGATAGCGTGACAGCACTCTGATTATATTGTGGCAGCTCTTGTGGAATAAGAACTTTCTAGCATCTATGCGATATATATGCCTTGTAATAGCACCTTATTGTGGCAAATTTGAGCTTTAGCAAGGCACTTGGGGCGAGGAACTTTGAATTGAGAAGGTAACAAATTACTAGACGATGGTTTCGAACTAGTGGCCTTTGTTGTAATGAATGGCTTGATGATGCACTTGTTATGTATGGCCTAAAGGTCCTGAAGATTACGATGAACCTGTTTAAATCATACGATATTCTGATCAACATGTTGAATTGTTTGGCCATGAACATACTGTCCTTTTTGGCCATGATGAACCTGCTGTATGGCTTGCTTGCATCCTTTTCATCCATGGCGAGACCGTATGCGCTGCTGGAGTGCTGGTCTCCGTCACCGAAACTGCTGATAGTGCCGAGAAGGTCTAGATCGCCCTCGAGAGCTGACCTACGTCTTTGACTCGCCGTTAACCCCCAGCCATGGCCACCTAGGTACTTTATGTTTTTATTAAGATTGACTGGATCAGATTCAAGCAGCGAGACAGTGGTGAGCGATTTAATTCCCTTGAATCTTCTGAAGATCTTAAAGAGTGGTACATATAGATTGTTTGCTGAAATTAATTTGCTCATGCTAAAGGAATTGGAAACCATGTGCTTTCTGGATCTATTTACGTACAGATGGTGAACACTTTATGAGCAATAAACTTTTTGATTGTCCACCACCAGCGTTATACTACTAGCTCATTTCAAATTTTGATATGTATGGGAGTCATGTTCTTCTACAGGATTTCATTTCTTTTGCATTGTTAGACTCCATATCAGATTTCTCGCAGATTTTGTTACTTTTGTACTGTTTGACTCGATATCAGATCTCTCGCAGACTGTAATCAGGTAGTATTTGATAGAATGTACACAATTTTGGAACGTAGATTTGTTGGGTCACCTTTGGCTAGAGTTGTTTCACTTCCTATTTCCTTTAAAGAGCTTTCATTTGCAGATCTTTTTTCATGTAAGATCCCATCAGTCAATGTAAGATAGTTTAGACAAATTTTCAGATCAGTAGTCAGGACATGGCATTGTTGAAATGGCAGCAGTCAATGTAAGAGGGTTTAGATAAATGTTCAGAATCAGGAGCCAGGACATAGCATCGTTGAACAGGGTACCACTATGAAATTTAAAAAATGTGGTCGATATGACGATGTGCCATTATGAAGCCTTGCACTGTGACCGTTTGGTAGGTTGATAGAAAAGCAAAATGATTGGATTGGGGGTGAAATGGATCTGGATGATTGAATAAAGTGCTTCACTGTTCTGCCAATTGTCAAATTCACTTATATTTTCCAGTGCAAAATTTAGATTTTCAAACCATTTGTCCTTTTCTTTTCATGCTATATCTAAGAAAGCATATGAATGTGTATTCACTACTACATCCACACCATTATTCTGGTGACTTTATTTTGGATGTAATATATTTTGCTGTCCAGGGGAAAGGTGATCTCTTCTTTTGGCACTTATCTTCGTTCACAAATCACATATATTAAAGTTTCTGGTCTTGGTGCTATCACAAATTAACAAAATGATATCAGTGATCGCCTCCATCCAAATTGATGTTTGCTTTGGATAAAGATGCATGAATTCCTGTTTTGCTCGATTGGTTTGATGTGTTGTTGAGGATGAAATGGAAATATTGTGGTCTACTGTTCCGTTTGGATGAAAATATGGTGGTATACTTTCACTACGTCAGATCAAGGCTTTAGTAACACAGCTATGTGCTACTACAACCTCAAAAACCTGTTGTGGTTCTCGGTAACACAAATTTTAAGTGATCTTATAGCCCATGTTACTTATGTACACTACAGTAGCACAAAACTAGTGTTCCGACATACAAGAAATATGTGTTACAATCATGTCACATACCTAGTGTTACCAGATACACTAGTAACACCTTTTTGAGCATAGCTCGTGCAGCTTCCCATGAGTCCTGTAAGACCTATCTTAGAGGCAGCAACACATATATAGGCAGCAGTAACACACAATCGCTTAGAGCCGGTAACACATACAAATATTTTTTTTTTTTAGAGAAGGGTATTTTTTTACCCGGCCTCTACATCCAACCGGATATATACGGCCATTGAAATAAGGAACTCAGGACCTTGGGGTACTACTCAGGTCACTATAACCACTAGGCTACATGCCCTTTCATCGGTAACACATACAAATATAGACACGAGTAACACAAAATCAACGAATCTACCTCCAGCAGTAACACGTTTATAATTTTCAGAAATGTACAAACATACTTTTATAGTCTTTGATAAGCATCACATGTCCACAATAAGGAAAAAGTACGAATCCCCCCCAACTATCGCGGTCGACCGAATTATCCCCCTAAACTCAAGTATCAGACATTTTACACCCTAAACTATATATACCGGACTAACGACTCCCCCCCCTGAACACTGTTCTGAGCGGTTTTGACTTGAGCTAGCACACGTGGCGCCAACGTGGCTGACTAGTCAGCAAAAAAAAAATCCCTGGCCCACCTGTCATCCCTCTCTTTAACCCAACCTCTCCCAGCCCCCTTGCTGTCTCTCTCGTGCGCGTACTCGGACGACCAGCGGCGGAGCTCGCTCGCGCAGCTGGGGGCGGAGGTGGAGGCGGAGAAGAGCCGGTTCCCCCAAATCCAGCCGCTGCCGCCCTCTTCTCCCCTTTGGCCGCCCGCGGAGGAGGCAGCCGGAGCTCGTGGTGGACTGTGGTGCGGGGAAAGGAGGATGGCGACGGCGCGGGGGCGGGCGGTGTGCGGGGTCGGCGACGGCAAGCTTCTTCGTGGCTTCGTGGTTGCGGAGCAGGAGGAGGAGAACCCCGTCGCGGCAGGAGGAGCTCCCACTAGGTGGAGGCCCAGCCGCCGCCGGGGAGGAACGAGGCCGGAGGCAGATGTGGAGGCGGCGGCTTGCGGCCCGGGACGACGAAGAGGAAGCCGAGGAGGCGCGGAAGCGACGTGTGGTGGCGAGCGTGGCACGCACCAGCGCGGCGGGGGAAGAGGCGGACGAGGTCGTCGCGGAGCACCTCGATGCCGCACGTCACCGACCCTCGCGCGCCGACCGCCCGTGCAGCTCGACCTGTGCCCGTGCGGCCGCCACCTCGACGCCGCCCATCGCCGGCCCTCGCGCGCCGCTCGATCTGCGTCCACGCGCGCCGACCCCTGCGCCGTTCGAGCTGAGACCGTGCGGCCGCCAACTCGACACCGCCCGTCGCCAGCCCTCGCGCGCCGACCGTCCGCGCGGCCGCGCCTAAGGAGTGTCGACGCCAGAGAGAGAGAGAGGGGAAGAGGGGAAGAGGAAAAGGATGACATGATAGAGTATGAAAGGTGGGACCCACCATGTTTTAAAAAAAGGGAAAATGCTGATTGGGTTGCCACGTGTACGCCACATAGGACAAAACCGCTCTGAATTGGGTCGAGGGGGGTAATTCGTCCGGTATTAAGTTCGGGGTAAGTGATGTCTGGTTTTTAGGTTCAGGGGGGAAATTCGGTCGACCGTGATAGTTCAGGGATTCGTACCTTTCCCCCAAAATAACATAGAATCAACATGACAAGTTGTATTACATAGGAAACCAGTAAATAATATTTTTACATCAATCTATAACAAGAAATCTATAGCAAGATTCTATAAGAAATACAATGTCTATATGACTCTGGGACGATCAATATTTGTCACTTGATCCATTCATGAGATGAACACTGAACAATATTTTTCCCAAGTTAAACTAATCATATACTTGCATGTACATTTGGCCTGGTTACTTCTTACAAAACCTTGATGAATGTGTAATGGTACCTGCACCTCACCAAGATGAAGATATTAGACCATAGAAATTGACAAAAAAAAGTACATATATACAGGACATCAAATAAAGGAGTTCACTGTAGATTTAGTTAAATCCAAAATAAAAGTATCTAAGATATAAATAGTATGGTCTTCATTCTTTTGTTTCTTTTCCCTAGCCAGGACAAATAGTATATGGTCTAGAAGAAAAACAGCATGGGTAAACAAAGGGGGAAAAAGAAGAAAAACTAACTATTCGAGAAATAAGGCAAGCTTTTTTCTAGGAATAAAAAGCAACAATGACTTCACACAGTTGAGAAATAATATAAAAGGTGTTGTTTTGAAACATAATATATTTTAGCCATGACAAGCTACTAAGCTAGTCGGATGCTAGATGAACTGTTGAATAAAATATTTTCATGATTAATGTTGGATGAAACACTTCAGCTTTAACATATATTTCCTATACATAGATCAGATCTGCATTTGCATTAATTATTCTTTTACCTGAACCCCTGAAAGAGTTCTGAAGAAAGCATTTTTAAATCAGAAACATAGAACATTCATGTTGAACAGTGTAGGGAGAGAGAAATACAGCGAATATTAGACCACGTTATATTGAGCCTCAGGGGCCGGTATTGTTGACGCGAAAAATACACACTGGCCCGGGAGATCTGCTTAGATCAAGTGCAGGTCCAAAGGTTGATGAGATGCGGGCGTGCTAGTCAGTTTGACCCTGCAACTGATAAGATATACAAATAGCAGATCAATGAGCCGATCGGCTGACAAGCCGATAGATTAATTACAGC